CAGTGGATGTGGCTCTTAATGAGACATGCCGCATTATCACGGGTGTCTGCGCCCTACACCACTGGAGAAATTACACTGCTTAGCCGGTATTGCACCACCTGACATCCGCCGGGAAGGAGCAGCCAATAGTGAAAGGATCAAGGCAGAGACATCTCCAGCTCATCCCGTTTGGGTATCAGCCAGCACATCAACGACTTAAATCTAGAAATAGTTTTCTAAGATCTACAGAGACACTCGCTGGAACACCTCAGCAAGCGAGAGTCCAAAAGTGGCAGGCTCAAACCCAGAACCTCAACCAATGGCTGATACCAAATGAGAGACTCCCCCCTGGGCACACAGAAGACTGGGCGACGTGGAAGGCGCTGAACAGACTGCGCTCTGGCACCACGAGATGCAGAGCCAATCTTAAGAAATGGGGCTACAAAGTGGAATCCACAACATGCGAGTGTGGAGAAGAGCAAACCACTGACCACCTGCTGCAATGCACCCTGAGCCCTGCCACATGATGCACAAGGGAGGACCTTCTTGCGGCAACACCAGAGGCACTCCAAGTGGCCAGATACTGGTCAAAGGACATTTAATAGAACATCAAGTTTGCAAACTTTGTGTTTTGTTTTAAATACAATAAAAACTGTTTGGTTCGCTCCTGACACGAAAAATAATAATAATAATAATTATTATTATTATTATTATTATTATTATTATTATTATTATTATTATTATTCTCTTGGCTGCCTCACTGGGGAAGGAAGCCAGAAGGAGTGGCGATGTAGCCATCCTTCTCTTCCTTTCTCTTAGCGTTCCCATGCAACACAAGGCACAGACATATCATGGAGAGAAGGGAAGGGAAAGGAAAGGGAAAGGGAACGAAAGGGAAAGGGAAAGGGAAAGGGAATGAGGGGAAAGGAAAGGAAAAAGGAAAGAAGGGAAAGGAAGGAAAGGAAGGGAAAGGAAGAGAAGGAAAGGGAAGGAAAGGAAAGGGAAATAAAGGAAAGGAAATGAAAGGAAAAGGAAAGGAAATGAAAGGGGAAGGAAAGGGAAAGGGAATGGGAAAGGGAAAGGGAAAGGAAAGGGAAAGAAAGGGAAAGGAAAGGAAAGGCAAGGAAATGAAAGGGAAAGGAAGGAAAGGAAGGGAAAGGAAGAGAAGGAAAGGGAAAGAAAGGAAAGGAAAGGGAAATAAAGGAAAGGAAATGAAAGGAAAAGGAAGGGAAAGGAAAGGGGAAGGAAAGGGAAAGGGAATGGAAAGGGAATGGGAAAGGGAAAGGAAGGAAGGAAAGGAAAGGAAGGAAGGGAGAAAGGAAAGGAAAGGAAGGAAAGGAAAGGAAGAAAGGGAAAGGAAGGAAAGGAAGGGAAAGAGGAAGAAAGGGAAAGGAGAAGGAAAGGGAAAAAGGAAAGGAAAGGGAAATAAAGGAAAGGAAATGGAAAGGAAAAGGAAAGGAAAAGAAAGGAAATGAAAGGGGAAGGAAAGGAAAGGAAAGGAAAGGGAAAGAAAGGAAAGGAAAGGCAAGGAAAAGGAAAGGAAATGAAAGGGAAAGGAAGGAAAGGAAGGGAAAGGAAGAGAAGGAAAGGGAAGGGAAGGAAAGGGAAAAAAGGAAAGGAAAGGGAAAAAAGGAAAGGAAATGAAAGGAAAGGAAAAGCAAAGGAAAAGAAAGGAAATGAAAGGGGAAGGAAAGGGAAAGGGAAATGAAAGGGAATGGGAAAGGGAAAGAAAAGGAAAGGAAAGGGAAAGAAAGGGAAAGGAAAGGAAAGGAAAGGAAAGGAAAAGGAATGGAAAGGCAAGGAAAAGGAAAGGAAAGGGAAAGGAAGGAAAGGAAGAGAAGTAAAGGGAAGGAAAGGAAAGGGAAATAAAGGAAAGGAAAGGGAAATCAAAGGAAAGGAAAGGAAAAGGAAAGAAAAGGAAAGGAAAGGGAAAGAAAGGAAAGGAAAGGAAAGGAAGGGAAAGAAAGGAAAGGAAGGGAAAGGAAAGGGAAAGAAAGGAAAGGAAAGGAAAGGAAGGGAAAGAAAGGAAAGGAAAGGAAGGGAAAGGAAAGGGAAAGAAAGGATTTGGAAAGGCTATTTTTTAAAAGTAAAAGTTCGGTGAGCAATAGGTAATGGCATAACAAGAGTATGTTGGCCCCTCCCACAAATAAGGGAAATGTTTCATTCTAAACTCGACAGCAACGAACGCCATCCCATTACAGAACTGGCCATTTTGCCCATCTCCATCTGGATCATTACCAAAAATCCACTTCCCAAGCATCTCCTGAAACATATGACAAGAAAGCTGTTCCCAATGCTTTAGACGCATAAAAAATGCTCTGCCCTACACTGGAACGCAACCTAATGAACACAGTGGGTTACCACTTCTGAAGTGTTTGACTCAGTGATATTTCATCAATGTGATGAGGTCCCAGATTTAGTTTTGTAAGATGTAGCCATTTCAGTGTGATACACAATGGAAATCTGCTTTCTTTGTATTGCCTTTGGTTTCCCACCTTTACTTGAGTAACAATCAATTACAAGTACCGGGACTGTGGCGCAGCTGAGCAAAAGGTCATGAGTTCAAAGTCGGTCTGGGTCGGAGTGAGCTTCCAACCAATTTGTGTAGCTTACTGTCGACCTTTGCAGCCCAAAAGACAGTTACATCTGTCAAGTAGGAAATTTACGTACCGCTTAAGCGGGGAGGCTAATTTACGAGGCCATAAAATCTCCAGCAAGCATGCAAAGAAGGAGGAAGTACTTCACCAGTGTCACAAACAGATGAAGAAGCGACAGCTCCCCTGGAGGCCAGAATACCCTCATGAAAAAGCTGGAATGTTAAATAGCCTCTGTGTGTCTGTCTATATATGTTGTGTGTCTGTGGCATTGAATGTTTGCCATGGATACGTACACTAGCCATCCCCTGCCACGCGTTGCTGTGGCCCAATCTGGTGATCTGGAAAATAAAGTAATGATAAAGTCTTGGTTTCTAATCTATGTAATGTCTTTATGCTTGTGGGTAAACAGTATTTCTTGCGATTTCTTTGTCAGTGTTGATGTGGAGAGTGTCTGATTTGCCCATCCGGGAACATACAAGATATCACTGTACTTTAAGGGTCCCTTTCAAATCTATGATACTATATCTCTGTTTGTGTGTGAATCATATCTATCTATATATCTCTATGGCTGGATGGCTCTTTGTCAGGAGAGCTTTGGTCCAGATCCATCATTTTTTGAGTCCACCGTGGTCTCTGGATGTAGGTGAACTACAACTCCCAAACTCAAGGTCAATGCCCACGAAACCCTTCTAGTGTTTTCTGTTGGTCATGGGAGTTTGTGTGCCAAGTTTGGTTCAATTCCATCGTTGGTGGGGTTCAGAATGCTCTTTGATTGTAGGTGAACTATAAATCCCAGCAACTACAACTCCCAAATGACAAAATCAATTTTTTTGAGTGAAGGACATACATTGGGTTGTTAGGTGTCTTGTGTCCAAATTTGGTGTCAATTCGTCCAGTGGTTTTTGAGTTCTGTGAATCCCACAAACGAACATTACATTTTTATTTATATAGATTGCAATACGAGTTCCCTGCGGGGTGAGAAGGGCAGAATATACTGTATATTCTGGCGTATAAGACTAATTTTTAACCCAAGAAAATATTCTCAAAAGTCAGGGGTCGTCTTATACGTGGGAGTCGTCTTATACGCGGGAGTCGTCTTATATGCTGGAGTAGCCTTATGCATGGGAGTCGTCTTATATGCGGGAGTAGTCTTATATGCCGGGAGTCGTCTTATAGAGCGGGTGCTGAAACTTCCAATCCGGATTGGAGAATCTGTGGTTGCTGCATATTGTGGGGGGAGCTCCAAAATGGCAGTGGCAGTGACTGTATGAAAGCATTAAGGGCAAAACTGTACAAGTACGGTAGAAGAAAATCCATTCATCAGGATTCTTGGACTTAATGCGGTCCCAATGGTGAGGTAAAGGGGCGGCTCACCGGGAAGGTGTAAATGAAAGGCGGAGCAAGCTGCACGCATCCGGGGAGTCCGGGGTATGGAAAAAAGAGTGGTTCTGGGCCCTTTTTGAGTGGTTCTGGGCCCTTGTATCCTATTACCGTACCTCCTTCTCTGCCTCTCAGATCTCGCTCCTGAAGACTGCAATGAAGTGGTGCAGGTGCGCATGTGCGAGGTCTGAGAGGCAGAGAAGGAGGTACAGTAATAGGAAAATTACCATATTGAAATCAAATCTGATGCTTTTAAATTTTTTATGTGGTGTGTGTTGAAAGAGGGGTAGTCTTATACGGCGAGTATATCCCAAAATCTATATTGTAACTGGAAAAGTTGGGGGTCGTCTTATACACCCAGTCGTCTTATATGCCGGAATATACGGTAAATCTATATAAATAAAAATGTAATGTCCGTTTGTGGGATTAACAGAACTCAAAAACCACTGGACGAATTGACACCAAATTTGGACACAATACACCTAACAACCCAATGTATGTCCTTCACTCAAAAAAAATGATTTTGTCATTTGGGAGTTGTAGTTGCTGGGATTTATAGTTCACCTACAATCAAAGAGCATTCTGAACTCCACCAACAATGGAATTGAACCAAACTTGGCACACAGAACTCCCATGACCAACAGAAAATACTGGAAGGGTTTGGTGGGCATTGACCTTGAGTTTGGAGTTGTAGTTCACCTACATCCAGAGAGCAACATGGACTCAAACAATGATGGATCTGGACCAAACTTGGCATAAATATTCCATATGCCCAAATATGAAACACGATGGAGTTTGGGGAAAATAGACCTTGACATTTGGGAGTTGTAGTTGCTGGGATTTATAGTTCACCTACAATCAAGAGCATTCTGAACCCTACCAACGATAGAATTGGACCAAACCTCCCACACAGGACCCCCATGTGGCCCACAGCAATGCGTGGCAGGGGACGGCTAGTACTGCAAATAAATAAATAAATAAAAACAACTTAAAAGAAGCCAGGGAAAGGAGAACACTTGGGCCAGGCTTCCCTGGGACCGTTTATTGCCAGCGCAGGTGGATCAACAAGGGAGAGGAGGGAAGCCGGCGGGTTCACCAGATGAAGAGGGGCTTCCCATCAGCCTGGGAGAGCATCTGGAGGCAGCGGAGCAGCACCAGGCAGTCCGCCCTCTTGTCCACGGGCACCACGTTCTCCACCACCTCCTGCAGGTAGCTGACGTCGTTGTAGAAGTCCCCCCCGGTCTTGGTGGTGTCCGGCCGCTCCCGTAGGATCCCAAAGGTGTTCACGATGTATTCGGTGAGCTGTGGGTGGTAGTTCGCGTCATAGCCCTTGGGCTTCAGCCGGTTCATGATGTCTTCATAGCGCTCCATCATACCCTTGCGTTGCTCCTCAGTCACCGGGCAGAGGAGGTCGTTTCCACTCTGGGAGGAAAAGGGAGCGTTACAGAGTGACCTCTGAGTCCCCAAAAAGGCTAGGTCTATTTATGTTGGGGGTGAAGGAGCATCAACACTTGGGCCTTTTCTGTGGTGGCCCCCCGACTCTGGAACACCCTCCCCAAATTTATTTATTTATTTATTTATTTATTTCACAGTTTTCTATACCGAGCTTCTCAACCTCATTGAGGGACTCAGCCCGGTTTCCAGCCATAAAAAACATATACACTCATTAAAATATCATATATCACAATTACAAAAACAACTTTAAAAACACTACAAGAGAGGAGATTCCATCTGAACATGAGGAAGAACTTCCTGACTGTGAGAGCCGTTCAGCAGTGGAACTCTCTGCCCCGGAGTGTGGTGGAGGCTCCTTCTTTGGAAGCTTTTAAACAGAGGCTGGATGGCCATCTGTCAGGGGTGATTTGAATGCAATATTCCTGCTTCTTGGCGGGGGTTGGACTGGATGGCCCATGAGGTCTCTTCCAACTCTTTGATTCTATGATTCTATGATTCTGATAATTACAAACACTATATATAAAACTACAGTGGTCAGTCGTCCTATTAAGATGGATCTACATCAACTTCCATCCAGGGTCCTATGGTGTTGTCTCATTCATCGAAGGCCTGACTCCACAGCCACGTCTTCACCCGTTTCCTAAATGTTAGGATGGATGGGGCGGTTCTGGCCTCCAGAGGGAGAGAGTTCCAAAGTCGCGGGGCCACCACCGAGAAGGCCCTGTCCCTCGTCCCCACCAGGCGCGCTTGCGAGGCCGGTGGGACCGAGAGCAGGGCCTCTCCAGACGATCTTAGTAGCCTTGATGGTACGTAGGGGAGAATACGTTCGGAGAGGTAAACAGGGCCGGAGTCGTTTAGGGCTTTATAGGTCAACACCAGCACTTTGAATTGTGCTCGGAAGCTAATCGGCAGCCAGTGGAGCTGGAGTAACAGTGGAGTGGTGTGCTCCCTGTACCCAGCACCCGCTAGTAATCTGGCTGCCGCGCGTTGGACTTGCTGCAGCTTCCGGGCAGTCTTCAAAGGCAACCCCACGTAGAGAGCGTTGCAGTAGTCTAAGCGGGATGTAACCAAAGCGTGTACTACCGTGGCCAAATACCTTACGTTGGCAGTCTTTAGGAAGAACTTGAAGACCTGGCTGTTCCGATGTGCCTTTCCAGAATAGGAAAACTCCAACAACAAGTCCCAGAAGCACTTTAGTAGAAATTAAGATTGCCAGCACACTGCACTTACCCTATAATCCTACATACCACCTGTCACATCAGCACTTTTAATTCTGTACCCATTACTCTGGCCCGGCCCAGTTTTATTGTGTCTTAGTGTATTGTTTTATTGTTTTAATATTGCTTGAATTGTTTTTGATTTGCTCTAGGTTGTGTATTGTTATGCTATGTTTTGAGGCCTTGGCCTTTGTAATCCGCATTGAGTCCTTTGGGAGATGCTAGCGGGGTACAAATAAAGTTAATAATAATTATAATACCTATTATACAGCAATGAGGGACTGACGGACACACTGTGGTGCATGCAGTCTTTTTGGCAGTTTAATAATGTGACGGCGCAAGTGGCGCCACCTATGTATAGAACTGTTAGTTGCAAGATTTAAACTGTTGTATCATGCTTAATCCTGCCCCCTTTTACCCTGTTTATGTATAGTTGTATGGATTGGTTGCTTGTAGCTCTTCCTACAAGAGGGGAGAACTTCCTTTTTCTTTTCATTCTGCCATCAGAGTTCGTACCAGATGGATGTGAGTAAAAGACTTGATTCTAAAAACCCTGATTTAAGTTACCTCTTAGCACCAGTTCTGAGGTTTTTTACCCCTGGGACTCATGCTTTATGTCCAGATCGTCCTGGACAATTATTGAGGAGACCCAGGCGCCTTCAAGCAGGTTCTTTTGGCACCAAAGGGAGATCCTGAATCTTCAAAACATAGGCCATCTGAACTGGGGTTGTGGTTTGCTCCGGTATTCACAGCCATTGAGGAAAGAGGAAACTTGGTGAGGCTTCTCAGCTTCAAACCCCTTGGACCCAGGACTGATTGAGACTGTAATGTATGTTTTCCTTCACCCCTCTAAAGTTTTCCAGCTCATTGCTTTGAAGAAATGACTTTGTGATAAATAAAACTTATTTTGAGCTATTTACAGTGTTTTGGGTTTTTGGGAGTTCCAGTTTCCTATAGGAGGGCAAGAAGCAATCCCCTGGGGGAAAGATGCCACGTCCATCCCTCCTTTATTGAGAATAATAGCCCCCAGGCGCGACAGCACAAATAAACCTTTTCCATGTTTTTTTTTAATTATAGAACCAATTAAGAAATTACATTTATAACTCAGAAACAAAAATTATGTTACATAATGTTATTAGTATTATTAGTTATTAGTTGACCTCACAACCTCTGAAGATGCTTGCCATAGATGCAGGCGCATCAGGAGAGAATGCTTCTAGAACATGGCCATATAGCCCGAAAAACCTACAACAACCCAGTGATTCCAGCCATGAAAATCTTCGACAATACTTCAAAGTCATATGTTCTGCAGTTGATGGTGGTTGGTGATGGAAGGGTTAATGTGAGTATTAGTTCTAGAGGGTTTGGTAATCTGTAAGTGGGAGTTCATGGGTGAAAGCAATTAGGGGTGGACAGGCCCGTAGCCAGGATTTCGTTTCGGGGGGGGGGCTGAATTTTTTTTCAGGGGGGGTTTCGGGGGGGCTGAGTTTCGGAGGGGCTGAGTCTGAGTGAAAGAGGGTCTAGCCTAGCAAACCTTTTGTATCATTACCCCAATACCCCCATGCATATGGGATATATTGAGTATGGTGATCAGATCATGATATGAATAAACATAACAGTTTAAATAATGCACCATTAAGGCCTTTTCGCGAACCACCATGAAATTTTTGGGGGGGGCTGAAGCCCCCCGAGCCCTGTAAGTGGGAGTTCATGGATACAAGCAAATAGGGGTGGAGGTGTGCAGGAGATGGGTTGCAGCTGGGTGTTACTGGATTTAAGGAGCTAACCTTGAGACTGATCTTTGGGAGAAAAGTATTTGTTGTATTTTGGTGGTGGATGCTGCTGGTTTTTCCCCCAGGTCTGTTGGATTTTTCAGTATCCTGACCTGTCTCCTGTAATCTTGGAATCCTGGAACCTTGAACCTTTGGACTGACTTTTGACTACGGTGTAGACTCTTGATACCTGGACTTTGTTTATTGAACTCTTGGCATTTGACCACTGGACTGGACCCTTTTGACTACAGAGTTGTTTTTGCTATCAGTTTTTGTTTATTCTGTAGTTGCGTGCTATCTTTGTGTTTTATATTTTGGACTATAAGAACAGCCAGCAAGTAAGTGCTGTTTTAATTAAACTGTTTGATAAAACTGGGAGTTTGATTCATCTCTATCTAAATAAGGCAGAGCCCTGGTTATGTGACAAAGTACTATATACTTTGGTCTATATTTTACCTGTGTGTTGCACCTCAACTAGGGTTCACCTTGCTCGAGCACTCGCCAGGAAGCCAAGCATAGGAATAAACAGTTTATTGAAAAAGCACACACAGTAAAAGAGTAAAAAATCCAAATAGGTAAGATAAAAGGAGTCCCAAAAGCCAGAGATAAATCTCCAATGCAAAGGTTAAAGCATGAACATAAATCCAAGGAGCAGGGTATAATCATGAGCTTGATTAATCCAAAAGACAATGAATAAAATATCTACTTGAGTAGTCCAAGAATCAAAGAACAATACATAAGCTTGAGTCCATGGTAAAATCCCCAAGACTGATAGCAAAACTTGACTAAGACATGGCTTGAAGCGAGGAACAAGGCAGGAGCTTCTTGCTGTATCTGCTACATTGCTTGATCTGAGAACTGAAAGCTGTTCTTTCCCTAATTAAGGACAGCAATGCATGAAAGCATTCCGTCAGCCTCTGAGCAGTCTCTTTCGGCCTCCCTTTCCCATGGCCTGGCTTGCACCTGGAATTCTTCCCCCGCAGAAGCAGCCTTGATTCTCTGTCCAACCTCCCTTCCTCCCTTCTCTGCCTGTCAGCTTCTTTTTTTTATAATAATCTTTATTCAGTTTTCCAATATTAAAAGACAAAAAGACAAACATGTTGGCCACCAGTATGGCAGTTACATACATAAAACGTACAATACATGTGTACAGAAGTTGATTGTAAATGATATGATTATAAACTGTATTGATTGTAAATGATATTATTATAACTGTATTTGTGTTTACACTGGTTGCCCTAATGCTGGAGCGGCCTAGCTGTGAGGAGTGTGTTACCATGGAAACGATGCTAATGCTGGAGCGGCCTAGCTGTGAGGAGTGTGTTACCATGGAAACAATGCTGTAGAGAAGTGGGAGGAGCTTAGAGAGGGAAGTTTTGAAAAGCGACAGTTAAGAGTTAGTTAGGTTTTTATGCTCAGAGGAGTGAAGAGTCATGAAGAGTCAGGGTTGAGGCTCAGAGGAATGAAGAGTTAGGTTTAGGCTCAGGGAAGTGAAGAGTTGAGAGAGAGAGAGAGTGGGAAGTAGAGAAGCAGTGTTTGTGAATAGTCGGAGGTTTCTTCAGTTCGGGAAGGCTGAAGGGGAAACCTTATTAGTTTTATTAGTTAGAGAAGACTAATAGAAGCTCGTTTAGATCACTAGTTAAAAGTGAACTAGAGATCTGAGGTTTGATCACGGAAGGGTCAAACAGGAAGACTATTCACCTCAGGAACCATTGTTTAATAAAGTGCTTCACCACAGCAAAGGTTATTTATAAGTTGTAACATCAGAAGACTGAACTGTATCGCAACCAAGTTATATGTAACGTTCTCCAAGTATTTTCCAAGTTTATCACCAAACTGCAACCATACGCTTTGTTTCAAAATAAACTTGTTCTCTTTGATTGTAAAACTGCCTCATCTCCATTAATTCTGCGTTTAGTGTGCCCAATCTCCCAAAATTACCTCACATCACCGAATTGGTGGCACCATTAAGGATAATAAATAATAAATCGTAACTTCTCTCTCCTGGGACCTCCCTTACCGAATTTGGGGCCCGAGCTCCTTCGCAACATGGAATAAACAATACATACAAGACATACAATATGATGTTGACCCTACACACATACACTATCACCATACCAAGAATAAATAAGACAACTGTTTAAAAGAAATGACTTCCGACTATATTTCCCCTCGGTCTTCCTATGTTATTGCTTTCGAGTACCCCTGATTGCCTCTTTATTTGAGGTTAGGGGTTTCCTTGTCATTTTTGACCCTAAGTTTGTTTTTTATGTCCGTCTATTCTCTACCTTTTAGACCTAGAGCAGTTCTCTTTTACCCTTCTTTCTCTTTCTTTTTCTCATAGTCTGTTAAAAGGTTCCAGTCCGTTTTCTTTATTGGTTTTCCTGAGCTTTTTTTCAAATAGTATGTTAATGAGTCCATATCTTTTATGTCATAAAGCTTGACGAGCCTGTGACGGCGCGAGTGGCGCCACCTATGTATAGAACTGTTAGTTGTAAGATTTAAACTGTTGTATCATGCTTAATCCTGCCCCTTTTGCCATGTTTCTGTATATTTGTATGGATTGGTTACTTGTAGCTGTCAATCAGCACTGTTTGGCTCCACCTCTTCCTGCAAGAGGGGAGAACTTCCTTTTCTTTTCATTCTGCCATGAGAGTTCCTGCAACATGGACGTGAGTAAGAGACTTCATTCTTAAAGGACCCTGTTTTAAGTCACCTCTTAGCACCAATTCTGAGGTTTTTTCCCCTGGGACTCATGCTTTATGTCCAGATCATCCTGGACGATACTGAGGAGACCCAGGCGCCTTCAAGCCAGTTCTTTTGGCACCAGAGGAAGATCCTGAATCTTCAAAATAGGCCATTTGAATTGGGGTTGTGGTTTTGCTCCGGCACTCACAACCATTGAGGAAGAGGAAACCTGGTGAGGCTTCTCAGCTTCAAACCCCTTGGACCCAGGACTAATAGAGACTGTAAAGTGTGTTTTTCCTTCACCCTCTAGGGTTTTCCAGTTTATTGCATTGAAGAAATGACTTTGTGACAAATAAAACTTATTTTGAGTTATTTACATCGTTTTGGGTTCTTGGGAGTTCCAGTTTCCTAAAGGAGGGCAAGAAGCAATCCCTTGGGGGAAAGATGCCACGTCCATCCTCCTTTTAAGACTAATAGCCCCCAAGCGCGACGGCACAAGCCATTGTTCGATTGACGGTATCTGTTCTTGCTTCCATAATTTAGCGAGAGTGATTCTTGCCGCTGTTATCATGTATGTGAATATCTTATCCTCATTTCTTTCTAAATTTAAGTGTTTTTCCGTGAGACCCAGTAGAAAGATCTCCGGTTTTAGGGGGATATCTTTTTTTAAGATTTTCTGGATCTCTTCTTTTATTTCCTTCCAATATTTCGTTATTACCGGACATGACCACCATTGGTGGAAGTAACTCCCTACTGTTGATTTACACTTCCAACAGGTGTTCCTGTAGTGTTTATACATTAGGCTTAATTTCTGTGGTGTTAAATACCACCTATGGAATATTTTTAGCCAACTCTCTTTTAGTGATGTTGAGTAAGTGTACTTTAACTTTTTTTTCCAAACCGTTTGCCATTCATGAAGCTTTATTTCTCTCCCTATATTCTTGGCCCATAGGACCATACAGTTTTTTACCTCTTCTGTTTCGGTTTCCCAATCTAAGAGTTGGTTATAGATCTTGGAAATCCTTTTTTTCTCCAGTTTTAATATTCTGTCCCAGGGGGACTCCTTGCTTTCAAATCCTAATTTTTGATCTTTCTTGAAGATTTCTTTTATTTGGTAGTATTGCAACCATGTAATATTGCCTATTGTTTCTGTCAATTCTGCCATAGGTTTCAGATGCCAGGTGTTATTGGTGGTGTCGAGTCTAATAAGTGCCTTGTAAGTTGGCCACCTATGCCAGCCCAAGAGTCTTCTTTGGGTGGCCTCAAGGGGGGAGATCCAAAGAGGGGTCTTTGTATAAAAGTATCTTTTGTATCAAGAATGATTGACAACTGGAAAATAGAGGGAGAAACCGTGGAGGTCGTGACAGACTTTGTATTTCTAGGTGCAAAGATTACTGCAGATGCAGACTGTGGCCAGGAAATCAGAAGACGCTTACTTCTTGGGAGGAGAGCAATGTCCAGTCTCGATAAAATAGTAAAGTAGAGACATCAGACTGGCAACCAAGATCCATTGCCTAGTCAAAGCCATGGTATTCCCTGTAGTCACCTACGGATGTGAGAGCTGGACCTTAGGGAAGGCTGAGCTAAGGAAGATCGATGCTTTTGAGCTGTGGTGTTGGAGGAAAGTGCTGAGAGTGCCTTGGACTGCGAGAAGATCCAACCAGTCCATCCTCCAGGAAATAAAGCCCGACTGCTCACTGGAGGGAAAGATACTAGAGACAAAGTTGAAGTACTTTGGCCACATCATGAGGAGACAGGAAAGCCTAGAGAAGACAATTATGCTGGGGAAAGTGGAAGGCAAAAGGAAGAGGGGCCGACCAAGGGCAAGATGGATGGATGGCATCCTTGAAGTGACTGGACTGACCTTGAGGGAGCTGGGTGGTAACGGCCGACAGGGAGCTCTGGCGTGGGCTGGTCCATGAGGTCACGAAGAGTCGGAGACGACTGAACGAATGAACAACAACAATTTATTTATTTATTTCCTATATTTTTACTCTGCCCTTCATTGAATTTTTGATGTCAGTCGTTCTGAGTCCCTCTATGGAGGTAGAGAAGAACGGGATACAAAAGTTCTAAATAAATTAAATAAGTTCAGTAACCTAATTAGGTGAACCAAGATGTATTTCTTACTTGCAACAAGACAAGTTTTACCTCTTTTTAAACCTCACTGCCATATTTTCAAGATTTTCTCTCCCATTTCCTTTAAAAAAAACCTTACTTCCTAAAATTTCATTTTCATTGTTGCAGGAAATACATGCCAGGTAAAAGGCTTTCTGTTGCTCTCTAGATACAAGTGTTGATGCTTCGCCACTCTCCCGACGCTTTCCCCACTTCCTCCCCATTGCCTTCCACACACCCCCTTCCCTGCCCAAGCAGGGACCCCTCCTCACCTGCATGATTTTATCTGGGATGTTGCCGACTGTGAAGCCGTACAGACGGACCCGGTCTGGGAAGATGCTGGAGAGGATCCGTCGGTCCAGCTGGAAAGCAACCTCACCCACGATGCGCTCCAAGAACGGTTGCGTGCCTTCTGGGAGCAGAACCAAGAGAGAGGGTTGGCTTGTCTCATTTGGCCACTTACCTCCGCCAAGTTGTGCAGGCCTGGTTTAGAGCCACCATGGTACATTGCTTAAAAAGGGCGGCATGCATCCTGGGTTATTGTAGGTTTTTTTCGGGCTATATGGCCATGTTCTAGAGGCATTCTCTCCTGACGTTTTGCCTGCATCTATGGCAAGCATCCTCAGAGGTTGTGAGGTCTGTTGGAAGTAGGAAAATTGGATTTATATACCTGTGGAATGACTAGGGTGGGACAAAGAACTCTTGTCTGTTGGGGCTAGGTGTGACTGTTTCAACTGATCACCTTGATTAGCATTTGATGGCCTGTCTGTTGTTTGGTGTGGCTTGGTAGTGCCTGGGGCAATTTTTTGTTGAGAGGTGATTAGATGTCCCTGATTGTTTCCTCTCTGTTGTTTTGCTGTTGTCATTTTAGAATTTTTTTAAAATACTGGTAGCCAGATTTTGTTCAGAACAGAACAGAAAGGAGGAAACCATGAAAATGATGGGAGGGAGGGTGCAGATCTGATCTCAATTGGAAGAGAGTTCCATAGCCAAGTGGCCACAACAGAAAAGGCCTGTCTCTCATTTCTGCCAAACGCAATTGAATTTTTTAATACTGGTAGCCAGATTTTGTTCATTTTCATGGTTTCCTCCTTTCTGTTGAAATTGTCCACGTGCTTCTTGTGGATTTCAATGGCTTCTTTGTGTAGTCTGACATGGTGGTTGTGAGAGTGGTCCAGCATTTCTGTGTTCTCAAATAACATGCTGTGTCCAGGTTGGTTCATCAGGTGCTCTGCTATGGCTGACTTCTCTGGTTGAAGTAGTCTGCAGTGCCTTTCATTTCCTTGATTTGTGTTTGGGCAATGCTGCGTTTGGTGGTTCCTATGTAGACTTGTCCACAGCTGCATGGTACACGGTAGACATTGAAATATACAAGTATGTGGACAATTTCAACAGAAAGGAGGAAACCATGAAAATGAACAAAATCTGGCTACCAGTATTAAAAAAAACTCTAAAATTACAACAGCAAAACAACAGAGAGGAAACAATCAAGGACATCTAATCACCTCTCAACAAAAGATTGCCCCAGGCACTGCCAGGCCATCAAATGCTAATCAAGGTGGTCAGTTGAAACATTCACACCTAGCTCCAGCAGACAAGAGTTCTTTGTCCCACCCTGGTCATTCCACAGATATATAAACCCATTTTCCTAGTTCCAACAGACCTCACTACCTCTGAGGATGCTTGCCATAGATGTAGGCGAAACGTCAGGAGAGAATGCCTGGGCCCGATAGCCCGAAAAAAGCAACAACCCAGTGATTCTGGCCATGAAAGCCTTCGACAAAGCATGCATCCTCTTTGGGGTCTCTTGGGGATCACAGAAGAACCTGTCTCATTGCTGGAGAGGCAACAGCAGACCGAAGATCTGGTCCCTTTGGCCAGGATTTGGACCTGATTCACAATCGGAAGGGAGGAACACAGCGCTATGTTCCTGCCTTGCTGGCCAGAGGGATTCTGAACAACTGGACACATGTAGACTTATTGGTGTCCATTTGGGTGGAGAGATTCCACCGAAATTCTTGAAGGAGGTGAATTTTCCCTCTTTCGAAGAAGCCAGGTGGGAATGGGAGAGCCAGGAAGACCAAGACAAGGGAGCAGAGGATAAGGCCACCATCCCTCCAATCACCGCACAATTTTCTCCATGTGAAATGAGCAGCTGAACTTTCAAGACTCTCCTACGTTGGATCCATTTAAGGCTAGTGGAACCCATCCAATGGCCTCTCCTATGAAGAAGATGTTGAAGCTGTTTGCAATTTATAATGTAGATTTCAAAGTATGTATGTATGTATGTTTAAAATGCTGTAGCTATGTACCGAGTGTATTCCTGTGTGGAAAGAGTTAACTGAACCATGGAGGGAACGGCATTCCTAGAGAGGTCATAAATCAAGTGTGTAGAACAAATGGACGAAGCATCGTGCGTCGTACATCATACGTCACTCTGGAATGCAGAAGGTGTGGACTAGTACTGATAGCAGTTCGTGTGTTCGCGATGTTACATTTAGATGTGCTGAGTGTTAAGTAGCTTCTAATGTATATAGCTCATCATACGTTATATGTCCCTCTGGAATGCAGAAGGTGTGGACTAGTACTGATAGCAGTTCGTGTGTTCGCAATGTTAAGTTCGGGTGTGCTGAGTGTTAAGTAGCTTCTAATGCATATAGCTCATCATACGTTATACGTCCCTCTGGAATGCAGAAGGTGTGGACTAGTACTGATAGCAGTTCGTGTGTTCGCGATGTTATGTTCGGATGTGCTGAGTGTTAAGGAACTTCTAATGTATATAGCTGTAAAATAAAGTAGTTTATAGCCTAAAGAGGCTGTGATTGGTCGTGTTCCTGCCTTGCTGTACGGACGATGACACTGACAGAAGACACCAGATTCTTGTGTGCCTTGGATCACTTGGGTCCAGAGGCCATCAGGTCCAACCCTGACTTAACGCAGAATCTCATCAGAACATCTCCTGTTCAGCCTCTTTTTCAAGGCATCTGGGGCAGACCCCACACCAGCCTTCTCTTCACCAAGACGCCTTCAGCATCTCCTCACAGGTGGGCTCATCCTTCTCCTTATCCCCGTCCTTCTCTGAACTGGCTCCATTGTGTCTGTATTCTTCCTAAATCAAGGCACTCAGAACTGAACTCAAGACTTGAGGCGAATCCTACTCCAGAGAAGGAGTCTCCATTGGACTCTCAGACAGAAGCCTATTCCACTACTAAACAGCTCTGACCATCAGGAAGTTTTTAGTGTTTAGTTGGAATCTCCTAAATCCCATTCCCGTGGACTTTTGGTCTACCATCCTATATATCTGTTTCATTGTTATGATGCAGGCTAGAATCGCATTGGCCTTTTTAGCTGCTGCATCACACTGATGACTCATGTTCCGCTTGTGGTTCACTAAGACTCCTAAATCCCGTTTCTCAAGCCAGGTGTCCCCCACCCATATCCCTCTGCTTTGTTGTCATTGCCTCAGTGTAGTACTCTACCTAGGGGTGTAACAAAGGCCTCTGCCCTCCCTGCTTCCCTGTCCTTACCAGGCTCATGCCTGGCTTATTTTATTTTATTTATTATTCGAACTTCTATGCCGCCACTCCCCTGGGTCTCGGAGCGGCTAAAATCGAACACAATTTCAAAACAATTTAAAACAATTTAAAAACAGCAATATCAGAGATCAAAGGCCTGTCGAAACACGTATGTCTTCCATGCCCTGCGGAAAGCTGGTAAGTCCCGCAAGGTACGGACTTCAGGTGGCAGAGTATTCCAGGGCGATGGTGCCACTGCTGTGAAGGCTCTGCGTCTGGTTGCTGTTAGATGCAAGGTCTTGACACTGGGAACTTCCAATAGATCTTGGTCCTCAGAACAGAGGGATCTCTGGGGTTGGGAGGGGGTGAGGCGGTCCCTCAGGTACATCGGCCCCAGACCATGCAAGGCCTTCAAGGTGAGTCCCATCCCTTTGAAAGTGATCCGGTGCTCAATTGGTAACCAATGCAGCTGAAGTAAGATTGGGGTGATGTGGCATCTCATCGGAATTCCCGCAAGAAGCCGAGCAGCTGCATTTTGCACCAATTTGAGCTTCTGGATCACCCACAGAGGAAGGCCAATGTAGAGGGCATTACAGTAGTCCAGCCTTGAGATGACTGTGGTCTGGATCACCATAGCTAGGTTGTCCCTGGACAGGGAGGGGGTCAGCTGTCTAGCCTGACGCAGGTGAAAGAAGGCGGTTCTGCTCATGGCGGAGAGAGACCTGGGCCTCCATCGTCAGCAGAGGGTCCAAAAGGACTCCCAGACTCTTGACCAATGATAATTGGCGTAGTGCCTCGCCATCCAGGGTGGGCAGCTGGACGTCCCCACTGCCCGGTTTGACTTAGCCATAGGATCTCCGTCTTTGCTGGATTCACCCTCAACCTGCTGGCACGCAGCCATCCAGTAACAGCCTCGAGGCTCTGATGAAAATAATTGGGTACATAATTATGGTCCACTCAGACTCCCAAATCTTTTCCCCCTGGACCATTCTCAAGCCAAGGGTCACCCATTCTCTATTTTCATTGTCTAAGTTCAGTACCAAACCCAGCATCGCAACGAATGCCTCTGCCCTGCTCTTACCTAGTGTTGGCCTGGGAGGACCGGCGCCGCCAGGCGCACTGGTGGACACGGAGTCAGCTCGGGTGTGGCGCTCTCGAGGCATTCTGCCAATGGGGCCGGGGACAGGCATGAGGGCGGGAGCGGGAGCAGCAGCTGCAGCAGCAGCAGCAGGACCTTGGGCCGGGTGGCCAGAACTACGGCTGGTGATCGGTGTTGGTGCCGCGGATGGGAGTGGGATCAGGGACCCAGCATGAGACATGGCGGGGCTCTGGGGCAATGAGGGGAAGGTGAAGGCCTGGCTCTGGCTAGGGACAGGGCTGTGCAGGGGCGAGTACCCAAGCGGTACCATGGCACCCGGCGGGGCAACATGCGGTGCAGATGTCCACATGGAGCCAGTGGTACTCCCAGCCAATGTGCCAATATTGAGGCCGCTGCTAGGAGGGATTGCACTTGCCACGGGACTTACAGGGAAGGTCACATAGGGGTAGGGGCTGTGGGACGCTTGGGGAAAGCCGGGGCCAGGGCCAGGGCCAGGGCCAAGGCCAGGGCCAGGGCCATGTCCAGGGTCAAAGCCAGGGCCGGGTCCAGGGCCAAGGCCAGGGCCGGGTCCAGGGCCAAGGCCACGGCCAGGGCCGGGTCCAGGGTCAAAGCCAGGGCCGGGTCCAGGACCAAGGCCAGGGCCAGGGCCAGAGCCAGGTTGGTGCGGGTGCCAGGGGATGGCGCACTTGATGCAGTAGCCCTGTTGAAGGAGGTCGCTGGTTGAGAGGTTTTGTATCACGTTGGGAACGCACACGCCACCGCCACAGCTTCGACCATCGTCAGTAGTGCTGCCATCCACTGTCAAGAAAAGAAAGGGAGAGTGAGAGTGAGTGAGAGAGAATTTGTTAGTGCTGCAAGTGAAGAAGTGATGTCGAGCGCAGCACCCCCCCCCCAAAATAAGGGATAGTGACTTATAGTTCTGCAAAGGGCAAGGGCACCAGACTACACAACAAGGGTCAAGTCTTGGTCACATTGCCAAAACACTGACAACAACAAGGACCCCACGAGGCTTTTGGGAAACGGCTGGATCTTGGGACTTCTGCCCTCCATGAGAGTTGTAGTTTCCCAGGGACCAGCTTCGATCCCAGCGTGGCAGCTCTGCCTAACGTTTTGGACTCACAAGGACATCTTTCCCGCTCATGGACTCACATTGCTTGAAAATAATTTCTTTATTAAATTTCTCTGGTTGGTGGGATGGAGAAGGGGTGATTGATCTATATACTTTTCTTCTATGTATTTCCTCCTATGTTTTCTTCTATGTATTTCCTCCTATATACTTTTCTTCTATGTATTCCTGCTTCTTGGCAAGGGGTTGGACTGGATGGCCCATGAGTTCTCTTAACTCTTTGATTCTATGATTCTATGATCCACAAGTCTGACCCAGCCATGAACTCTTTTGTCCTTTGGGAGGCTGACCAGGGAGCGGCCCGCTGGGCTGAAAAGGCAATCAGGGATCACAAAAACACCTATTTACTTGGAACTCGCATCTGAACAATGGGACCTGGAGTTACTATTTGACTTTAGGAGGGGGTCATCAGACAGTGATTTCCTCTGCCAAGTTTTCCTTCACAACAAACATCCTTCTCAGCCTCACCTTTTACCTTATCTGATCTTGGAAGGGGAAAACCTGAATCAAATGAGTATCCCTAATCACTGATCCATCACAAGAACAAAAATAACTAGTTTCCTTGGCTGGCTGATCCCCCGGGCACAGGACAGTGGAATGTCATCATCCTCTCTGGACACAATGCCCCTCTCCCATCCTGCCTCCCTCTCCCTGATTTGCTAAGGAGCCGAAGAGGGAGGGAGTTTTGAAATGTTTTCCTGTATTTTGCCTATAAAAATGCCTGTAACTCTTGTATTGGTATGCCTGTAGTGGAACTATTCCTGCAATGCATCCGATCTCAGCTGAATCGCTAATAAAGACACCTCGGTCCCAGCTTCTTCCGCTTTGGTGGGGATTTATTATTTTAATATTTTTGCTACTGGAATTGGCTTCGCTGCCCTCACCAAGGTTCAGGGACCCTCTTTGGTGCGGTCCTCGGGATCTCCTCGGCTGGGGAGATCCTCCTAAAAGCGGCTCGATATCAGAAGCACCAACCCTTGTATAGACAGGGTGTCAAAACAGTTGCCATACATCGGGTAATGTCATGGGATGCTGATATGTAAAGTGATTTATAGTTTCCAATTCACTACCTCCCTGAACCGCTGCAAGCTAGATAACAAGTGTCCCACAAGTAAACAAAAATACAGCAGTCTTTTCACAGCAAAAACATGCTTCAACCCATCTTACAACAGAGTCCAACTGCCAGCATCTGACCTTATCTACACATTGTTTAGTAAACTCACAGATTCAGGTTCCATCCAAAATATGTGGAGGCTTTAATCTTCACCATTGCAGGGTATACAAATGTACAATCATGATTTACAGATCCACTTTCAGGATTGTCCTTGCAAACAATCATATCCTCAGAGTCACATACAAAATAGACAGATACTCACTAGGGCTGGGCAACCACGGAAAAATTTGTTTCTAAACTCGATTCGTTTTTAGGGGGTTTTTGCGTTTCGATTTTTAAATTAATTCCAAAATTTTCCTTTAAAAAATTTCGATATTTACGAAATTTCATAAATTACAAATCAATTACGAATCGATTTCGAAACAATTACGAATCGATTCGTTAATGGCAGGCGCGATCGCGCAATACGCTAAAAAAACCTCCAAATGGGACAGGAAGCTTCCCTCTCCCTCCGTTGTTGACTGTTGGTGTGATAATTTATTTTTTTTTCACTGAGAAAACAAACAACGACTATAAAACTTGCACCAGACATGCGGAAATAATAACGAAACGATTTCGAAACAAATATGAAACAATTACAAAACGAATTGAAAAAATTAGTTTCGTTTTTTAGTTGCTCCTGAATGGTTCAATATCGCTTCGTTATAAAAAAAATAACGAATTACGAAATTAACGAATGAAACCGCCCAGCCCTAATACTCACAATGAGTCACACAGGAGAGAGAAAGATGGAACCTTTCACACACACACACATCTTAATAGCTACGTGCTGATAGGTCGTCGGTAATGGACACGGGCTGATGCAACCCCTTTGCAATAACCTTCACATGGTTATGACTCAGCCATTACCACCTTCCCTTAAGTATTGTATCATGAAGAGGCATGAATGGAGGGAGAAAGAAACGTGCCAAGAGAAAGGCGCGTCAAGCCAACCCTGACCAGGACCACCTTCCACCTGGAAACCGATGCCCTCACTGTGGGAGAAGATGCAGGTCAAGAATAGGGCTCCACAGTCACCTACGGACTCACCACCAGGATACTACACTCAGAGGACCATCATCCTTGGACTACGAGGGATATTACCCATATATTGTTCTGTCGTGCTCTGGGCCTGTAACAGCTGTCTTTTCTATAGGACTTATACTTTAAGCCCAGCGGGAAGCCAGGGGGCCTCAAAGGGAGATTCTCAGGGATTTTTCTGAAGTGATGGTCTTTAGAGTCTTTAATGATAACAAAGTCTTTATTATGGAACAAACAACACATCTTCAGTGGTTCAAACAACACTTCAAGGCTTTCTTAGTCTATTTATTTATTATTATTTTGAGAGCATATTAAAGTCTTCAGTACTAGAATCATAGAATCATATAGTTGGAAGATACCTCATGGGCCGTTCTCTGCAACCCTCCTGCCAAGAAACAGGAAATTTGCATTCAAAGCACCCCCGACAGATGGCCATCCCGCTTCTGTTTAAAAGCTTCCAAAGAAGAAGCCTCCACCACACTCCCGGGGGCAGAGAGTTCCACTGCTGAACGGCTCTCACAGTCAGGAAGTTCTTCCTCATGTTCAGATGGAATCTCCTCTCTTGTAGTTTGAAGCCATTGTTCCTGCGTCCTAGTCTCCAAGGAAGCAGAAAACAAGCTTGCTCCCTCCTCCCTGTGGCTTCCTCTCACATATTTATACATGGCTATCATATCTCCTCTCAGCCTTCTCTTCTTCAGGCTAAACATGCCCAGTTCCCTAAGCCGCTCCTCATAGTGCTTGTTCTCCAGACCCTTGATCATTTTAGTCGCCCTCCTCTGGACACATTCCAGCTTGTCAATATCTCTCTTGAATTGTGGTGCCCAGAATTGGACACAATATTCCGGATGTGGTCTAACCAAGCAGAATAGAGGGGTAGCATTACTTCCTTAGATCTAGACACTATGCTCCTATTGATGCAGGCCAAAATCCCATTGGCTTTTTTTGCCGCCACATCACATTGTTGGCTCATGTTTAACTTGTTGTCCACGAGGACTCCAAGATCTTTTTCACACTACTGCTCTCGAACCAGGCATCCCCCATTCTGTATCTTTGCATTTCATTTTTTTTCTGCCAAAGTGGAGTATCTTGCATTTGTCACTGTTGAACTTCATTTTGTTAGTTTTGGCCCATCTCTCTAATCTGTCAAGATCGTTTTGAATTCTGCTCCTGTCCTCTGGACTATTGGCTATCCCTCCCAATTTGGTGTCGTCTGCAAACTTGATGATCATGCCTTCTAGCCCTTCATCTAAGTCATTAATAAAGATGTTGAACAGGACCGGGCCCAGGACGGAACCCTGCGGCACTCCACTTGTCACTTCTTTCCAAGATGAAGAGGAAGCATTAGTGAGCACTCTCTGTGTTCGTCCATTTAACCAATTACAGATCCACCTCACCGTAGTTTTGCCTCGCCCACATTGGACTAGTTTCCTTGCCAGAAGGTCATGGGGGACCTTGTCAAAGAAGGCCTTCCTGAAATCCAGGTACGCTACATCCACGCATTCCCCGCATCTACCCAGCTTGTAGCTCTATCGAAGAAAGAGATCAGATTAGTCTGGCATGACTTGTTTTTGATAAATCCATGTTGACTATTAGCGATGACTGCATTCGTTTCTAAGTGTTTGCAGACCGCTTCCTTAACAATCTTTTCCAGAATCTTGCCCGGTATCGACGTGAGGCTGACCGGACGGTAGTTGTTTGGGTCATCCTTTTTTCCCTTCTTGAAGATTGGGACCACATTGGCCCTCCTCCAATCTGCTGGAACTTCTCCCGTTCTCCAAGAACTCTCAAAGATGGTTGCCAATGGTTCCGAAATGACTTCCGCTAGTTCCTTCAATACTCCTGGGTGTAGTTGATCTGGCCCTGAAAGGGGACTTGAACTCATTAAGAGCGGCCAGGTATTCCTGGACGACTTCTTTCCCAATTTGGGGTTGGATGTCCTCCAATCCCTCATCCACTCCATCTCAAGAACATCCGGGGAAACAGAAACAGA